CAGAGCTGCTGTGATAATCAGTCATGGGGTCTGGCTGTTGGTCTATAGTTATGGTGAAACCTTTGTTACCTTCCAGTTTTTAGCACGGGTCTTGCCAAGATGACTTCATTCTAGAGAATTGGCGTTACTAAAACAATTTATTGCTTAGTGGTTTTAATCTTCATTTTACAAGAATAATTAAATCTTCTCTTCATTGAATAATTTAGTATGATGCAAATTTAAAAACTATAGTCTCTGTGTGTTATTGATCGCATGGCCTTTATGATATGGTGTTTTCGGGAGGACTCCGTGCTAGAAGCTGAACAGTGCTGCTGTGGGCCTTCATTGCTGAGTCAGCCTTTGAGAGGAGCAGCTGCCATGGGAGCAGCTGCTCACAGTCTTAGTGGTGGGTCTGGAGCAGCTGGCTCAGGCTTAGTTCCAAATTTGTATTAACACCAGGGTTGCAGCCAACCAAGTACCCGTTCTCCTAAATTCCCTTCCTATACTGCACAGACCTAGAGAGACTGATGGCCACTTCTGTAATTCTTTGGTGTCAGAGACCATCCTTCCTCAAGTTATATCAGTCAGCCTGGACTCATAAAATATTCGTGCCTTTATTACATAGATCCAGAATTCTCATTTCCCTATAGCCTCAGAAGTGAGCTTTAAGTCCAGAGCATAAAGGAGATTAATGTCTAGGTTTTTGCCACTGATTTTTTTTTTTGTACTGGGAGTAGAACTCATGACCTCATGCTTGCCAGGCAGGCCCTTGTGCCATGGAGCTATCCCTGGCCTGGTGTTACCTTTAATGTAGTATAGATGAAAACAATTTTAAATCATTTACATCTTACATTTTTCATTATACATATTATAATTCGGTATCATTTCTGTTATATAAATCCCCTTAATATTTATAAATGTTCTGTAGGTATACAGAATACATCCTTTGTCTCATTTACTCATGTTTTTATGCATACAAATGAGCACACAATTTCTACTTGTGTTAAAAGTGATGCGTTAATGGGACTGGGGATTTAGCTCAGCGGCATAAGCACCTGCCTTGCAAGCAGGCGGTTGTGAGTTCGATCCCTGGTACCGATAAAAATGAAATAGACCAAAAAAAAAAAAAAAAAAAAGTGATGCGTTAAGATTCACTCCTACGAGCCCAATGCTGCCATTAGAAGGCTTGTTTCCTGTGGGCAGCCCATTTCCCTACGCCATGGAGGGGGAAGGAGCGGCCAATGTGGGAAGTCTCAGGGACCCCACAAATGGCTTATTGAGAGGAACCTGGGAGAATGTCAAGATAAAGGAGCGAAAGGCAATCTCACACCTCCAGGCCACACACAAGTCTGAAAGATACACTCATGGAAGAAAATGGGAGTCATACATCTGAAGTCTCTGAGAAAATAGCAACTGAAGTAAAGAAACAACTTCATGAGACTGTGAAAGATCAGAAATCAGATCAGAAATAATGTCTCAGGTAAAAAAATGACAAAACATAATGAAAGAATTGCTGAGCCTATCTGGAGAAAACATAGATTAAAAAAAAAAGTGTAGGAAAATGATGGAAAGCTTGAGTGAACAATACAGGAAGGAATTACAATGCATGAAACAAAGAGAATCCAGGAAATTAAAAAGTTGATTGAAAGCTGGCAAAACCACCTGAAAGAAACTGAAGATAGACTTTCAGACCTTGAAGACAGGATCACAGCCAGTGATCAAGAAAGGGAAGATCTCTTTAAAATGACAAAGAACCAGGAAATAACAATTCAATGGCTGCAAGAAGACCCAAAAATAATTTAAGAGTGATATGTGATTGAGTATTTTTGGCACTCAATCTAAAGCAGCACAGAGAAAATGAGAGAGATAAGGAGACAAAGGAGGAGGCCTTTAATGTGGGCATGAGAGAGCTTCAGGGAACAGTGGGTACAGGGGCTCTCAGAGGAGAACAAAGAAGTGGGGCTACTTTTATCAGTTCTGGCTGGGGGAGGAGTTTGGGAGGTGGGCAAAGTGACATGTTAACCGCTGTTTGAAGGAGCATGTGACTGTGTAAACAGGAGATAGAAAGATTTACTGGGGGCTGGAGGTGGAGGCTTGGGTGGTTGGATTGGAGAGGGCTCAGCACATGTGCAAAAAGGGAGCGGGAGGTTTATCTTTGGAATGAGAAGGAGAATGTAGAAGTTACTCTTGGAGAGGTTAAGTTGTCTCTCTGGGTCCAGTAGCAAGTTGGGAGGATGTAGCTAAACTCCAGGGTAGCAGAATCTATCAATAAGTATCAGAGAAGAAGCAAGGGTCAACACAAATTAAATAAAAATACTATATACAGAAGTAATAGCAGAAAATTTCCCAAACATGGGAGAAGGATCTGATGTACAGATAAACAAGACATATACAACTCCAACTAGCCATAACCCAAATAAATCTATACTCCAACTTACAATAATCAAGATCCCAGAAATTCAGCACAAGGACAGAATATTAAGAGCCATTACAGAAAAGAAACAGATCACCTATGAAAGAAAACCAATCAGAATCATGGCAGGCTTCTCAATACAAACCATCAAGTCAAGAAGAGTTTAGAGTGAAGTGTTTCAAATCCTGAAAGAAAACAACTTCCAATCCAGATTGAGGTACCTTGTAAAACTATCTTTCAGAATTGTTGGAAAAATAAGATACTTGTATGATAAATAACAACTGAAGGAATTCATAACTACCAAACCAACCCTACAAAGAGTTCTGAAGAATATTCTAGAGAGAGATAAAAGCTGACCATGGTTCCAGGAACAGCAGCAGAGGAAGGTCGCCAAACAGGAGAGGCAATTGAATGAAGAAGAAAAGTGGAGGACCAACAATGGGAGGGTAGCATGGCAGAGATGAACCAGTGCATACCAGTTGTTGTAACCACTAACCTAGATGGCCTCAATTCACCAATAAAAAGAAACACAGGGCAAGTAGATTGAGAAACAAGATCCATCAATATATTGTATACAAGAAACCTGTTTAACTTGAAAAGAAATTCATAAAGTGAAAATCCAAGGAGAGAAAAGAATTGTTCCATGAGATGGGAGACAAGAAAAAAAGCAAGGGTAACTTGCCCATCAACCACAGAATAGATAAGAAAGGTATGGTATTTTCACATAATGGGAAGTTACCCACCTATAAAGTAGGATAATCTCGAGGCTCTTGTAGGTAAATGGATGCATCTGGAGATCCTGCTTATTGTGAATGGTTTTGGCACATATGGGTGAACACTGAGTTATCTCCCTAGCATAAAAAACTGAAGGGGTTGGTGGGATCCAAAAAGCACACTAGATATTACAAAAGTGATAGGAGAGGAAATGCCTAAAAAGGGAAAGTGCTCAACATTGTTAATTTCCTATTATCTTGTTTTGAATTCTTGAATCATTTTCATAATTTTGTTAGGTCTGGTTTTATTCTGTCTTGTTTTATTAGATTTTACTGTGTTTGATGGTATGGGCAGCTATTTTGAAGATAACAATCCTGTATTATGGTAACCATTGTTGTTTTCCTATTAGCTTGTTTGAAGTCCTATAATGCTTTCATTATTTTATTTAGATTGGTTTTATTCTGTCTTATTTGATTTTATTATGTGTGATGATATGGACAGCTATTTTGAAGAAAACGGACACATTATGGTAGCCATTGTTGATTTCCTACCATCTTATTTTGAAGTCCTATAATACTTTCATTCTTCTGTTTTGGTTGATTTTATTCTGTTTTGTTGTTTGGTTTTATTATGTGCGATGGTATGGACAGCTATTTTGAAGAAAACAAGAGACATTATAGTAGCCATTGCTCATTTCTTATTATCTTGTTTTGAAGTACTATAATACTTTCATTCTTTCATTTTGATTGGCTTTAGACTGTTTTGTATTGCTTGATTTTATTGTGTGTAATGGTATGGACAGTTATTTTGAAGAAACATCATGGGAGCCATTGTTGATTTCTTGTTTTGTTTTGAAGTCCTGTATCACTTGCACTATTCTGTTCTGATTTGCTTTATTCTGTTTTGTTTTTCTCTTTAAAATAAAAAAATTAAAAATAAATAAAAGATATATGTCACTTGATCATATCAGTTTTTAATATTGTTTATATCTTTATTTCTTTGGGGTTTTTTTCCGTCTTTCCCACCCCTCCTTGCACATACTAAGGAAGTATTCTACCAGTGAGCTACATGCCCAGCCCTTCGTTTGATTTCTTAAACTTGTGCTCAATGAAAATATGTTAATAGTGATGTTTTCTATAAGTTTTGATTGAGAAATACACAATAAATATATTTTGTCTAAAGGCTGTGGTTTAGTGGCCAATGTTATGAGTTAAGTTGTATTAAATTGCAAGCTGCCGAAAGCCCTGATTCAAGGTGATTTATATGAAGCATATGTATTGGCTGGTGTATATTGGAAGACAACCAGCAGGCCAGTATTCAGGGTTGATTTGACTTAGCAGCTCAACAGTGCCATTAAGAATTTGGTTTTCTTTTTTCCACCGTGCCAGCTGTAGTCCCACTTTCCTATGGGGGCAAGGTGGTACTAACCATTCCCATGTCCACAGGCTTTCTCACTGATGTCCAGTGATGTTTACAGACTGATCTGAAAATCTTTGTGTTTGCTGAACTTAACCCAGATATGTGCTGGACCTTAAAACAACAACTATGACTGGGGATAAGATTGTCCTGAGCAGCTCAGGCCAGGTGTCAGCTTCACATCCACCAGTAGGGTTTTAGGAGGATGCACAGAACCCTTAGTTGGAACTGAGTAATTATCTAGAGGAGAAGGAAATGGATGAACGATGCCAGCCATACCATCCACTGTACTGTGTTTTGAAGTCATTTGGCTTTCATTACAAGAGTGCTTAGGGGCCAGGGACTTAACTCATCAGTACACGTGCCTGCCTGGCAAGTGCAAGGTCATAAGTTCGATCCCTGGTACCCCCCCCCCCCGCCAAAAAAAGTGCTTGCTTTTTTTCCCATTCATTTTTATTTCTTCTGTTTCTGTCTTTAGTTCCAACAACCAAACGGACAGGCATTCCAGCTCCCCGGGAACTCTCAGTAACTGTCTCAAGAGAAAGGTCTGTTCCACGAGGTCCCTCCAACCCAAAGAAATCAGGGTCCAGTCCAACTTCGTCCTGCACTCACACCCCTACCAAGCACCTAAGGACCACTTCTACAAAACTCAAGCAAGACAATGAAGCGGGGGAGAAGGCTGTGCTTGAGTCCCAAGTTCGCGAACTTCTAGCAGAAGCCAAAGCCAAAGATAGTGAAATCAATAGGCTTCGAAGTGAACTGAAGAAATGCAAGGAGAGAAGGGCCCTGAGCACCGAGGGGACTGAGGCTTCGGACCCAAGCTCGGATGGAGCATCAGCCCTACCAGGAGACACAGAACCTTTGATAAGAACCCTTGAGGAGAAGAACAAGACCTTTCAGAAAGAGCTTGCTGACCTAGAAGAAGAAAACCGAGTTTTGAAGGAAAAACTGACTTACCTTGAGCAGTCACCACATTCAGAAGGGGCAGCAAGCCACACTGGTGACAGCAGCTGCCCAACATCTGTAACTCAAGAGTCAAGCTTTGGAAGTCCAATTGGAAATGAACTATCAAGTGAAATTGATGAGTATAAGAAAAACACATATGGAAATACATTACGGACATCTGGTTCTTCAAGCAGCGATGTTACCAAAGCTTCTTTGTCACCAGATGCCTCAGATTTTGAGCACATCACCACTGATAGCCTGTCTCGGCCCCTGTCCTCCTCTAGCAACCCTTTTAAGAACTCCAAGTGTTCAACTACTGGAAGTTCTCCAAACAACGCAAGTGAGCTGTCCCTTGCTTCCCTTACAGAAAAGATACAAAAGATGGAAGAGAATCACCACAGCACGGCAGAGGAACTACAGGCCACTCTACAAGAGTTATCAGATCAGCAACAAATGGTGCAGGAACTGACAGCTGAGAACGAGAAGCTGGTGGATGAGAAGACTATTTTAGAGACATCCTTCCACCAGCATCGGGAGAGGGCAGAGCAGCTAAGTCAAGAAAACGAGAAACTGATAAACCTTTTACAAGAGCGAGTAAAGAATGATGAGCCCAGCGCCCAAGAAGGGAAAATCCTTGAGCTAGAGCAGAAATGTACAGATATTCTCGAGAAGAGCCACTTTGAGAGAGAGAAGCTGCTCAACATTCAGCAGCAGTTGACCTGTAGCTTACGGAAGGCTGAGGAAGAGAACCAAGGTGCTTTGGACATGATCAAACATCTGAAAGAAGAAAATGAAAAGCTGAATGGGTTTCTAGAACGAGAGCGGTGTAGCAACAGTGCGATGACCAAAACTCTGGAAGAGTGTAGAGTTACCCTGGAAGGCTTGAAGATGGAGAATGGGTCCTTGAAGGCTCATCTGGAAGGGGAGAAGCAAAAAGCCTCGGAGACCAGTAGTGCCTTGGGGCAGACAGCAGAAAACTGTGAGCTTCAGGAAATGTTAAAAGTGGCTCAAGCTGAGAAAGATCAGCTGGAACAGTCTTGCACTGAGCTCAGACAAGAATTGCTAAAAGCAAATGGTGAAATTAAACACATTTCAAGCCTACTAGCTAAGGTAAGAAGAGATACTGTTTTACTGAAATTCACTATTCTTTGTGAATGTTTGTCCCCTTGACCTTTAAATTTGCAAGGCCAAGTAAATCACTTGTTCACTTTCAGTAACAAATCAAGCATTGTAACTTATAGATCTGTTGAGATTCCATACAGGTTGGCATTGAGGATTTAGAGGAGAAAAACTCATTTCTGGCGAGAAGCGATTCAGAGTATACTGGTGGTGCAGTAAATTATATCAGACGGTGACACAGGGATAAAGAACATAGGCTGAAGGCGTAGTTCCGAGGTAGAACGCTTGCCTCGTGTGGAGTAGAGGCTCTGGTTTCAGGTCTGAGCATCATAAAAATAATACCAGGAAGTTTCTGTCTGGTCCATAGTCTAGCACAGCAGAGGGATTCTGAGTGTATATTGGAGTCCTCACAACCAGGTGAGGTGGCGCACACCTGTAATCTCAGCACTGCGGAGGCTGAGGCAGGGGAATTCACCGCAGGTTTGAGGCCACCCTGGGCTATGTAGTGAGTTCAAGTCCAGCCTGAACTGCATAGTGAGATCCAGTCTCAAAAAACAAACAAAAATATTAGAGTCAAGAAGTTTCTGAAGAGGTGCAGCTGAGCTGACCTTTGAACAAGACTGAGTGAGAATTACCCAGGTCTCTCAGCATTCCTTTGGCTGCTGTAGCAGACAGTTAAAATCACCCAGTTTTCCCACCAAAAAATAACAAACCAGTATTTTGGGTTTTCTTCCAAATATTTGTGTGTGGTTTTTTCGCACCTAGTGCAAGGGCTCTGGTTACAGATATAGTACTCGCCTAGTATGCACAAGGTTCTGCTTCAGACCCCACAAAAAATTAAAATAAAGTTTAGTACATGGTACATAATAGTAATTTTTTGGTACATTTAACTGATCATATTCTTACTAGCCAATACTCTTAAATATTTTCTTTTAAAAGCCAGATAATATTTTATTATACAATTGTTTTATGTTCACTTAGTCCCCTGTAGTTGAATATAGTGTGCTATGGGATGTCTGTTCTTTCTGGTCTTTCAGTATTATAAATCCATTTTTAATATCTGATTATTTCTTTAGGAAAAATTCCTAGACGTTGACTTAGTGAGTCAAAGAGCATAAACATTTTAAAGACTTTCAACACATTCAGCAGATTGCCCTCCAGAAATATCATGCCAATTTTTTCCCACCAGCAGTTCATGAGAGTGCTTGTTTTTCTGAGCCCTTGCCAATCCTGGGTGTTAAATTATGTCATTCAAATCTGTTAATAATTTCCTGTATTTTTATTTTAAATTCTTAGCTTGGAAAGACCTTCCTCCACTCAAGATCAGACAAATGATTAGTTGTATAATTTTTAATTACTTTTTGATTGGTCTGGAGTTTCGTTATGTGTTGCAAGGCTGATAGTGATTATATACTCTGTTCACCTTACGGAGCAGCCCTGGGAAGGTGCAAAGAGATGGCTTCCTCTTCCAAGCTCTGAGAGCTGTATTATTTACAGGTCTACTGGAAAGGGAGATTAAGGCATCTTTCCACCTTATTTCAGGGGTTGTTACTGTTTCAAGAAGCAATTTGTGCCATACACCCCCAGTGGAGACTTTTCTTTATTATTTCATCTAAAAATTTGTTACTGTGCACACTGATTCTGCAGTCTGCTTTCTGCTAGCCTTATTAATACATTGTGCCATCACTGCCTGTGTTCTAAATTTACAGATTTTTTTTTAATGTAGGGAAGCCATTTTATTAGATGTTACTAACCAGGCACTTACTTGTGTTATAGGTAGATAAATGAAGCTTTGCATTGTTACCTAATAAAATAATATTCCTTTATCATTACCCCTTTGCAAAATGTTTAGTCTCCCAAGTACATCTTGAAGTTGTCTGTCAATTTCTCATCTATCTTTTTGGTATTTGGATTGGCATTACGTTAAGTATATGTGGCAATGGCAAATAAGTTGACATCTTAAAAAAGAACTTATTTTTTCTGGGAAAATGATGTATTTATTACAGAAGACTTAGAAAATACAGAAATGTCTAAAAGAGAAAAGTTAACCTTTAATCTTACCACCTAGAGAAAAAGCTGCCCACAGTTTGCTGTTGTCCTTTCACATTTTTCTTTCATTTTTGCATATGGTTGAGTATGCATGTAAACCTGTAGTGACAGGACTGCAGTACTTAATCTTTCTGTACAGAGAATATCTGGCCATATTCCATGAAGACAATGAACTGGTTAAATTAGTTTCTAAATTCTAACGTTTATTTCTGAGTAATTTATTTCCACTTTCTCCCACCTTCCCCCTTTTTTTCTTTTTTGAAGTCAGGATTTCACTGGGCAGTTCAGGCTGGCCTTGAACTCACTATGTTATGTGGTCCTAGCCTGAACTCTGTTACCTCAATTACCTCAACCTCCCAGTGCTGGCATGTACCACCACACCTGGCCACTTTCATTAGTTCTTTTGCCTCTTTTTTTGTACATGTTTTGAGCTTTTTTCCCCCTACTTTCTTGAGTAAAATTCTTTAAATTTATCCTTTCACGGTTAATAATGAAAACATTTATTGGTGAATTTGCCCTTTCTTTTAACTATATGAAAATAAAAACAGTAATATCTAGATTTCTGGTATAAACTTAACCTTGTTTGGAGGAAGAGGAAAGTATTTGTATTCTCCATAGAGTAGAAGACATAAGATACATGTTTAAAATCAAACTGTTATTCACGTATTTCTTTGCAAATAGAATTATCAAATACAGTGGGATAAAAAGATTCTAGCCAGTGTTCTGGTAAGAGTCTGAGACAAAAGATATACCTCATGGTGCCTCATAGGGTTTCTGTTACACGTCTCAAGACCTCAGTCTGTGATTGCACTCCCTTATGAGCACAGAGACATCGATCTGAAATAGCAATGACTTTGTGAACATACACTAATCATCTCTCCCTTTAATATTAAACAGGCCTTCCTAGTAGACCGTCCAGTCAATTTCCTAATGCTGTGACAAACATCTGAGATTGGGTAATACATAAAGAAAAAAGGTTTATTTTAGTTCTAGAAGCTCAGTCTAAAATCAGGCAGCCATATTTGGGGAAGGCCACACATCTTTAATTTACTATGGGGGAGCAAAAAGAGAAGCTGCCCTGTGCAAAAGAGGAAACATGTGTGATAGTGAGGGGGAAGTACCAGGTTCGCTTTTTAACAGCCTCCTTAAGCACACTAATTCAGACCTGTGAGAGCAAGCACTGCTCTGGGACTGCAAAGATCCGCTCGTGGACGTGGAATCTCTCGGAAGGAATCCCCTTCTAGTGGCCCTGTTCCCATACAACTACGTTGGACTTCAAATTCCAGCTTGAGTGTTGGTGCTGACAAATCATACTGACCCATGACAGAAACAGTAGCTTATTGTATATCCTCACTGCACACTGCCAGCTAATCCACAGCTAGGAATTCACATGATGATACTTAAGGAACCATGCCTGAATGATATTGGAAACACTTTGTAACAATAACTGTAATAAAAGATGTAAAAGTCTGCCCTGAGTCCTCTGACTCACCCAGTGACTGATCTCATGACCCTTTGAGCTTTTACACTGCAGTGTTGAGAAGACGTGTGATGGTGACTGGATCCATGCTCTGTACATAATTTAAAGGGAAGTCTTTAGTGTTTTCTTATTAAATATGTTTTAGGCTAGATGTGGTAGTGCACACCTATAATTTCAGCACCATGGAGGCTGAGGCAAGAGGATCACTGAGTTCAAGGTCCATCTGAACTCCATAGTGAAACTCTCTCAAAAAAACCGAGCAAACAAGAAACATATATATGATTCAGGCATTTGGTACATACCCTTTATTATGTTATTCAAGTATTTTGGTAGTATTTTGTTTCCTTGGGGTGTTTTTTTTTTTTTTTTTTTTTTTTTGCTGTTTTTGTTTGTTTGTTTGTTCATTTTACAGTACTTGGTGTTGAGCTCAGGACCTTCACTCTGAGCTCTATTGAACCGTTTTAAATTTTTAAATTTTGCTACAGGATTTCACTACCTTGCCCACGTTAGGCTCTTAACTTGCAGTTCTCCTGCCTCCTTCTGGAGAAAGGTAGGATTGCAGGTGTGCACCATCGTGCCCAGTTTGTTTGTTTTTAACCAATAACCAAGATTGGATTTTTTTCTACATCTACTGAAGTAGCAGTTTTATGTCAACATTTCCCCCGCTTTAACTATTTACTGCAATGAATCACAATTTTTTAAAGGCCATCCAGTGGTAAATCATCTTTGCTTCCCTGGAGTAAATCCTGATTCTTAAGTTGTTGTTTCACTTAATATTTTACCCAGCACTTTTACATGTAACTGCTGTGGGTAGTTGTCAGAGTGACTGTTGTTTTCATCAGTTAGCAAACTGCTTAGCGATCAGCATTTTCTCCCATGAGCATCCCATTGTTTTGCTTGGAAGAGGTGAATATTGTGATCAAAGAGCAAATTAATGTGCTATATTTTCAGAGTAGAACACTGCCAACCCATCCAGTGATCTAATAGTTACATAGATTTAACAAATACACATACTTTTGTAGAAGAGCTTTTGAAAAACTTTAAAATGGATCTCTTTCTCACAGAATAAACAGAAGTAATTGGACTTTTACAGGAACTGAAAGATCGTTTTGTAGGTTTTTTTCTTCCTTTCATTTCTTTGCTTTTATCAGTTTGCCAATATCTCCATTCTTTTTGCCTTTTCTAATGGCTATTGTATGCTTTTCCTTCCATTCTAGGATTTAACCCAGGGCCTCGCACATGTTAGGCGAATGCTGTATCAGAGCTATACTCCATTTAGCCCCATTCTGTGTATTTGGCTAGCATTTTATAAAACATATTTTTTGTACAACTTTGAGGAACTTTGAGGCCTGACGTCTCCAAGATGGCACAGCCACAGCCTCCTGTGAGCCATAAAGGTACCCTGGTATATGCCTTAGCCAGCAAACAGCATTGAGTTGCTTAGGATTATTGTTTTTCCAGT